TGGCCACCGTAACGAATAAAAAAGCTGACGTTTCGAGCGTTAGCCCTTCGCCATTCGCTGTGACGAAGGGCTAACGTTCGAAACGTCAGCTTTTTTATTCGTTACGGTGGCCATTTTACAGTTTCAACTTAGTTGATATAACCAATTGCAAAACTTAATTGACTACTGGATAATACGGGTGCCACTTACTTTCGCGGGCAATAGTCAGGAAACAGGAAACGCCTACAAGGGATTTTTAATACCAGTAGATCCACGAGAAAGATAGGTAAAGATCTGCAAATATTTTGAGATAATCGAGAGAGCCAGAACGCGCCCATATTACCTGTGTAACCTCGTGCTGGTTTGTCAGTCTAAATGTGTGGCTACGCAAGCAATCATGAAACAAATGATGAACCTGTATGTAAATTAGAAATTTATCACAAATTTATTTCCGTATAATTTGATTACAGTTGATAAAGGTTTTCATGAGAATCATCCAGAATTTTTCTCTCTCAACCACGTTCGCGACTAGGCATTTTAACCAAAACTATTACTGGGGTCTATACATCGTTAAACAAAGATACACAACCATTTTCTATAGATATACACTATTTTATGCGTAAAAGCAGAAAGCGCTGGCAAGTAGTTGACCCTCCTGGCCTCCTCAAAACCAACCCGTCCAAAATTTTGATAACTCCCTTGAAGCTCTCTAGAAATTGTAAATACTAGGTTAAGTTAAATGTCAATCTTAATAAAAATTACGATCATAGACGGTATGCGGTTTATGCCTGCGGTTTACCGACGCGCAATTTTTTTTTCGGTGGCGCCGTCTACCACACATGCCTAACTTGAACTGTTACACAGTACCCTAGGGCCAGTACTTCAGACGCCTATCTTTTCATGAGCCGAACGTAATTCCTTGAATTTAAGTACATGAAAAGATCGGCGTCTGAATCAATTTGGAACGTCTATTTCAATTTGGAACGGCTCACCCGTTCTTCCCGCCTGGCTTGGCCGAGAATTTCGCCTTTGGAACGCCTTTGAAACGGCTTTGATTCAGACGTTGTACTTTTCAAGTGCCGATCCTAATGCATAAACTATTATGATGTATTTTGCAAGTTATGTGGCTGGTTTTACTGGAACTGTATTTGGAACGGCCAAAAAGAAGGGGGTCTGAATCAACAGGCGTGCTTTTGTTAATTTGGGTCGGTCCAAATTCGAATTGAGTCCGGCTCTTGAAAAGTTCGGCGTCTGAACTGGGCGTAAGAGACTACAATTGCAAAAAACAAATTACAAATTTTAAACATGATGGACGAAAACATCTCAATGCTGGTATTAAATGAGGCCACAGAAAGTAACTTATTATTCAGGGAAATAGTTTTCAGAGGTGCAATTCTATCTTGACCTCTCAATGTTATCCGTTAGATTGACTTGTTTAATGTATAAAACGCACGAAATGAATGTTGTTTCCCTTGTTACTATCTTGTGCGTTTTCTCTCCACGACAAACGGAGAAGGCTCTCTGGACCGTTAGCTCTTCAAAGACGTTTTAGGCATTTAAAACCTTTCGCTACCCTCACTACTCTTTTATTCAGTCACACTGGAGGGCCAAAGAATACCTTACTTAAATTTTCATTCAAATTTTCTTTTTTCGCACAGTATTAAATTAAAGACCGCCATTTTCCGGTCTTTGTTCACCAATAGTCACATATTAGTAGTTCCCTGGGAGAAGACTCAACTCTTGCTGTCTATGTGAAATGACCGTGTAAGGATTACTGGTGCGGAAAGTAAAAGATAGCTTATGCCAGCATAGAATAATACACCACTTAAAACAACTTTGATAATGTATGAGAACTATTCACAGTGTCCTTGCTTTACCACAGGGAGAGAAGAAGGGGACACCAACTCCATGTACATGAAATAAAACTTGTGTCAGGTGGACAAGTATTGAGAGAAATAAAGCGGGGGGAGAGGAGAGAGGGCATGTTACAAAGTGGAGAAACTTGTACCTTAATCCCACTACATCGAAATTCTGCCAGTTCCAAAAATGACATATCTATTCCCTTGTTAGCCTAAGTCTTTTTGAGCAGTCAGTTCAACATCTTCCTCATGGTAAGAGAATTTGGTGGAATTCCTTATCGTTACAAGTCACTATGGATGACTTGCACCTGACTCTTTACCTTTTCCTTTCTAATCTTTTTTTTTTTAATGAGTCTACCTCTAAGCAACCCATGAAAACATGCTAACTGACTGATCTAGTAGATTGTATGATAAATGTCCTCCAGACAAACTGATGCCACAATCTGGTGGAATGCTGAATTTATCGCCTCTGTTGGGATCTAGACTGTAAACTTCTAAGTGTTGCTTTGTAGAAATTTACTAAATCAAGACTTATTCAGCAATGTAATGTCAGCTTTCAGCTTCTGAGACATAGTCTGGCCCCTTGAGAGAAAAAGGAACGAAATGTGTCAATAACAATATGTGCAACACAATACTGTCTGGACTGAACTCTCAAATTACAGAGTGCTTGAAATCTAACAAGTCAATCGAAAAGTTAAACAGCCAATGAAAATAAAGCACTAAATGTTGATAGCCAATAAAATTTAGCTACATCCTTGAAGCTACCATTCAGGTTCAAAATATGACTTTTTGACCACATAAGAGAGTTGAGCTCTATGCAGATGTCTTACATAATGTATGTATGTATTGTATTTACGATATTTAGACACGCCAGCCCAGTTCAGCTTGAAGCTGGTTTAAATGGGGGCCTGTACATCCCACCCCAGGGGAGGACATCCATCACACAGTAATCTTGTGTGTGGGACATTAACATCTCCTACCCCCAACCCTGCAGGAGACAGGACCTCCATTTATTCGTCCCTATCCGAGAAGACTAGAATATCTAACCATTTCTTGATGTTATGATCAGTAGCACGCTTGTCACGCGCAAATGGAAAAATCACGGATTTGCTCGAATCTTTTAAGAATTTCTCGGCGCACAATGATCGGACCTGCTTGAGACTTTCCAAAATAGTTACACATATGTTAAAGATGATTTTGGACTAAACAGAGGTAGAATAAAGGTTTTTTGAAAAAATTGAATCGGAGCCGAATTGTAAAGTTAGCGACAAAAACATGGCGTCACGCGTAACTCGCGTGGGCTTCACTATTCACTGTTTTTCTGTTTTTGCCAGCGTAAGTTTCGTCTATAGCCGTAAAACTTAACAGGTGATGAAAATGGTTCCCTTTTAAGCGAAGTGGCAAACAAAATCCTGACAATTGGGGCTAAATCTTTGTTAAAATCAACAAAAGTGTTCAACATATAATGCATCACGCTTAAAGCTTGGTAGAGACAGATCATTTTCAATTCATTGTGCGAGTCATAATTCCCGAGTGACAGAACAATTTAACCTCAAAATGTAATGCTCATAAGTTGCTTTTCGCTCTCCTTCCGTTTTTTGTGTTTTTATTGAAGCGTTGTCGAGATATGAATTTTTTTCTGCGTTCTAAACAGTTGGCAAGCGGTGTGATCTGCCGCGCGATAATTCTGGTCATTGAATTTCCCAATCGTCTTGTTTACGAAGAGTGCACTGGAGCGTGTAAATGTTAACATACGCAAAATGCTCAAATAACAAGCTAAATTTTGCTACCAAAATTGATCGAATCCGTTGAAAGCCGACGAAAATATTAGCAATAAGTTTTGTTCGAAACATTTGGTCGACAAGTTTGATCCTGAGGAAGGTAAGTGATCGAATTTCGAGAAAAAACAAGCGCGACGCTCTAGTCATTTTGACGGCTTCCTTCGCTTCCAAATCGTCCCAAAGTCTACAGAATCAAGCATTGTTTTCGATTTCCTTATTAGGAAGTAAAATATTGCATTTCGTCAGAAATGAGCGGGAAACCCCCTGAGCACGTGCCGCATGTTTCAAGGACGCAGTCAAGTACACGTAAGTACAAAAGGCTGTGTTGTTCGCAAGCACAAGGCTGTGAAATTGAATGCAAAGATTATGGATTCTGGAGTTTCTAGGATTCAAATGTGGCGAGAACAAAAGAAGAAGGAAAGACAAGAGAAAAGAAGAGCACATTATGAGAAAAACCGAGAGAAAATTATTGAAAAGGTCGTGGAAGCCAGAAAGAAAAGTCGAGAAGCCAAGAGCGGACAACGGCGGAATGTTCCTATCAAAGATGCCACAAAGAAACGTCGGCGCGAACGAAACCAGCAAAAGACAGGTTCAAAAAATAAAGGGAAACTTGAGGAACAGAGAAAGATGGCTAGAGAACGAAGTAAGCGATACCGTCAAAAAAAGAAAGACCAAAATGCACAGGTTCAAGCGGAAGCCACACCGATCGACGTTACTGGTACGCCGTTCCCAAACAGGATGGCCAAGAAACGTGCCATTGGACGAACTAAGAAGAGTCTCCCAGATACACCGGAGAAGAAAGCAGAAATAATGGCAGCTATATCAGAAAGTCCACGTACAAGGAAAGTACTCGAGAAACGCGGACTAATGAAAACACCAGAAGAGGAGAAAGAAGTGAATGCACTGAAAGCGCTTGCTAGCGATCTCACCCAAGGCCTTAAAGCCGTCAAAAATGACAAGTCAAACAAAGGAAGAGCTGCACTTGTCGCGGCAAAATCACTTTCTTTTGGTCAAAATGTTAAAAAGAGTAGAAGCCAGAAGACACTTTCAAAGCTCATAGCCTTGGATAGAAGAAGCATCAAGTCGGGAATTGAAAAACGCGAAATGATCTTAAAAGGTGAAGAGTCAAGCTGGCTTGCAACCAAACGAAAAACCAGGCGGGATGCAGTCACTGAAGAAACCAAAGAGCTTGTTTATGATTATTGGAAAATGGTAGCAAGTAGACCGACAGGAAACAAGAAAGACTTGATTAGAAAACGCGTTGGAGTGAAAACGTGGGTTGAACATCCGAAACACGTGCTTGAAAAAACCCAAACGGAAGCCTACGTAGAGTTTGCGTCAATGCATCCAGAGATAAAGATATCTCAGCGAAAATTTGAAAACCTGAAGCCTTATTTTGTTAGGGGGGCAAGGGAACGAGATAGGCAGACTTGCATGTGTCGTCAGCACGTTGAACTTCAAATTGTCTTCAAAGACTGCATGAAGTTTAGGAAGAGAGTGATTGATGAAAGCAGGGAAGCTAATCAAGCAGCTACAGAAGTGTATAACTCAGTTGGAAATATTATTGCGCAAACACTTTGTCCCAAACCCGAAGATCAAGACTATCATAAATTGAAATGCTTGAAAAGGGAGTGCAAAGACTGTGGAGTTCACAACTTGGTTTTGTTGCCAGAGGAGAAAGGTGTTGGCAATCACGAAGTGAAATGGAAGCGTTATGACTATGTGTCGACTGGAAAACTTACCACTGATGGAAAAGACATGAAGAAAATAGCCCTTGTCGAGAAGTGCACAGGACCAAAGGAACTGTTTGATTATTTTATTCAGCTGTTAGGACAGTTTCCTTACCATTCCTTTCTTGCTAAATGGCAGAGGGAGCAGCTAGATTCTCTTCTTGAAAACCTTCCTCTTGATCAAGCTGTGTGCATCCACGACTATTCCGAGGGTTATGCCTGTCGGTTTCAAGATGAAATCCAGTCCCAATACTTTGACGTAAACAAAGTAAGTCTTCATGTCACAATTCTTTACAGGCATTCAAGTGCTGAGGTGGATGGCATCCAGAGCACAGAAGAGGAACCAGCAATTTGTAAAGAGCATTTGTTTGTGATTTCCGATGACGTCACCCAGGATCATGACTCTGTCCTTCACATCCAGAAGTTAATTTCAAACCATTTAGAAGAATCAAACTGCACTATCAAGAAAATGCATGAATTCACAGATGGATGTGCAGGACAGTACAAGAGCCGACACTGCTATGGTGACCTGTCATGTTCCCTGGCAACTCTTGGATATACAGTCCAGCGAAACTACTTTGCCACCTCCCATGCAAAGGGAGAACAAGATGCAGCTGGCTCCCATGTCAAACAGAAGGCAACCTCAGCAGTTCTCTCCAGGAAAGCCACACTATCAAATGCAAAAGATCTTTGTAACTTTCTGAAAGAGAACTTCTCTGAACCAGCTGCTTCCTCATTTCCTGCTAGGCAGAAGTCAGTGCAGTTAAAGCGGCGCATCTTTTTCTATTTGCCATCTACTGGGGAGCTGAGTGTTGCACGTAACAGGGACGGTGGAAGATTCTGCACTGTCAAAGGCATCCGCCAACTACACTCTGTAAGAACTTGCAGTGAACAGCTAAAAGTCTACACAAGAGAAAGGTCTTGTTACTGCCATGGTTGCATTGTTGAGGATTTTGACAGCTGTGAAAATAAGGAATGGGTGGGCAACTGGAAGGAGATTGTTCTGTCAAGAGAGCCCTCAGGTGTCATGACCAGGACAACTGAAGATGCAAGCACCATTGAACATTCAGTTCAAGTTGCCGACCTGGCAACGAAAGAAAGCACTGTGGCTGTGGCAGCTGAAGATGATAGCCACTATGATTACTACCTCCTTAAAGTTACTAGCAATGGAGTCATTTCCCTTCAAGAAAACTTTGAGGATCCTTATAGTGGAAGCATTTATTCCAAAGGAGAAGCTGTTCTTCTTGGAAATTTCTTTTTAAGGGAGAACATTATTGATCGCACATACAAACTAGATGATAAGGTGGCAGGAGTATTCCCAGGAACTGTGCGGTACATTTGTGGACCACTTGTGTCAAAGCGAAGGAGAGCAAGACCAATTTATCAAGTTCCGTTGGATGAACATGAACAAATTCTGGCATCCCTTTAACTGTTTTTGCTCTTAGTAGCTTCAAATTTACATTTTTTGCCGAAACTTTCCTTAAAATATGGTATTTATGCATTTTTTTAAAAAAAGGGCGTGGTCGCATTGCATCATGGGTAATAGAAAATTAGCTTGAAAGGCGTCCGAATTGATCAAGATGACCTAATTTCAAGATAGGAACTAATTTCCTTCCCTTTCTGACTTATTTCTAACAAAAATAGATTCATTAAAATATTTTTCAATTTTACCCCAATGTTACGCCTTTGTACATCAGAACTGTGCTACTGATCTATACAAAGGTAGCAAATCCTTCTCAATTATTTAAGACCTCGAGTGTTGGTCTGGCCGGGACTCAAACCCTCGACCTCCCACACAACAGTCCAGTGCACTATCCACTGGGCTAACTGGGTGGTGGTAAAGATGCCTGTCCTGACACTAAAAGTTTCCTGTCTAAGTTGCTGCCACTTTGTTATTGCCAGAATAAGACAAAATAACTGAAGAAAAATCACTAAGAAAATTTTATGCAGACAACATCAGTAATTGGTAAAACATCAAATATGATCCACATTTCATTGACCAGTCAACTGACTTGATATGGAACTAACCTCTGCAATTTTTTGATCAAGCATTCTGAAAAACTCCAGTTGAGACTTTGTCATTTGCCTAATGGAGAAAAACACAACATGGATTATAAAATAAAATGAAAACTCACAATCAAACTGGTCATCCTCTACACTATGTCTGAGTAGGTCTCAAGCCTTTGCTGTTTCTGCCCCCAAAACTCTGAAACACTTTGCCTAATGGCATCTATTTATGTGACAGTTTAAACACTTTAAGTCTAAGCTTAAGACCTGCCTTTTTAAAAGAAGCTTTTTTCATAGCCAATTTAATCTTATTTAGATGTGGATAAGTTTTAAATTTATTTCTCAATTTTGTGAAGTGCCTAAAGCAAACTGGATAGATGCTATACAATAATCGATTATCAATATTATTATTAATTATTATTATTATTACTTTTAGATAACTCATAAGCAAACTAAGGGAACAATAAATAATTTAGAAAACAAACAAAACACATCCTTAATTTCAACTGAAAAGCAAATACCAATTTTAACTGAACTTCTTACTAGTCTAATCATGACAAATTAAATGAAGTCAAAATACGTCATTCAAATACACTGTTATTCAAATCATAGGTAAGGAAAAGCAAATTCAAACAATAACTTCAGCTTGGGTAGTGCTTGGCACAGCCAATTGGTTGGTTCTACATCCACTGTCTGCTAGTCAAATTGGTATTGGAATGTTGGTGGAGGGAGTAATCTAGAGATCCCAAACAAACCCAATTGGTCACAAAGGACCAAGGATGAAAACCAGAAAAATACTCAACCCACATGTTACACCAGGTTCATCAATCAAACCTGGGCCACAGACCATCATCATAATACTCTGTTTCACTAAAACTTCAGTATCAAAGCAATTTACTTATCGAAATAAAAGGGGTATATGGAAACAACACTACAGTGACTCTTATGTTCCACAAAGGATTACTAGACAATTAGGGTGGGATAACCATGCCATCTGTCAGAAGTCACATAAACCTTTTTTCAATACACCCCCTCCCCCTTTAACTGATCAAAAATTTGATCTGCAGGTCTTACACTCTGACTTGATTGATTGGAACAGACTTTGGAGCTGCACAGTGGTTGTCATTTGTCCTAAAAAGACATCAAAATGTAACAGGTCAAGGTTTTTTAAAAATTGATTTCAGCTTATTCTATATACCCCTAGCCTGGTATCAACAAATACGAAGGTGTTGAATGTTTTTTCAAAATTTTACCATTCCTGAATAAGTACTCAGTTGAGAAAGAGATCTTCTGTAAAGTTAATCAACATCCCCTGTCAACATGGTGGTTTACTACAGTTAAATACATCACCAAAATTTGTATATGATGACAAAATTACCTTCTAACAATTAACATGACAAAGCATCCCACAAGGTCAAGACCGACAACATTTTGACAGCCCACAAGACATAGTGCTATTTGTAATTTGCACTCAAGTTACAAAATTTCTAAGATTCTACTGAGAATTGGTAGACCCTTTTTGATGTTAAACATTATGATTGCAATGGCTTGCAGTTGTTGTGCACGGAATGTGGGTTAAGTTTTGCTGTTTGTAAGAGTTCCTCTTGCATTGATTTATTGTTACAATAAACAGCATGTAGTGCTTGTTCTTGAATTCATTCTAGTTTTCTGGCATCAGAAGAACAACAAAAATGCCAGACAGTCTAATAGTATTTGAGATGTGGTAGTAAAGCAAATTTAACAATGACTTTGTAATTTAGCAGATGTCAGAAAAGGGATAAGTTATCTCAGAGGAACACAAGTTTGACAGGAGGCTTTTCTACAAAAATTGCTTACATGACTTGAAAATGATAATTGCATGATCGTCTAAGGTAACCCACTAGAGCGTTATCTCTGATTTCTGATCAATAACAGTGTTATTAATTACAATCATGTGTAAATCTTTATGACAATTCCTTGGGCCAAGACTCATCACCTGAAACTTTGCAAAATTTTGTTGCACAAGATTGTTAATTGTACCACTCAGAAATTTTGTTTTCCTCCTCAGTTAAAATTATTTCACCATGTTAGGCAGCTGAGAATACCGAACTTCTCACAGAAAAAATGCAAGTAAGGTTTGAAAGCGTCCTACCTTATTGGGGTGGGTTTTCTTCTAGGTATTCCATCCTCATTCTGGAAATAAATGGTTTATTATCTGAGATTGGTAAAAACAACTACTCTTACAAATATGTGGCAACAACTAAAACTATCTTTTCCCACAGTTATACAGGCTACAATGCTTTCCTATATCAACAAACTAACCCAATTTAAAAATTCACTCTATCTGTGGTTTGTTCAAACTATTAAAAATAATAAATTCTCCCCTGCATAAATATAACTTTCAACAAAACTCAACAAGTATATTACCTTATCCTTGGTTACTGAGGAGATATCATTTTTTGGTTCTGGAATATCAGGCTCTTTGACTGAGGTAATACTATTAGATGAATCTTTTCTGCTGTTTTTTAGTGCACTGCTTTCTAGTGAGTGTCTTGGAACATCTGTAATGAATGCCAAGCAACAGAAGAAAATATACATGAAACTGAATTATAAAAGTTCAGTAAAGATAATAAATGCTGGCTTCTTTGACAAAAGAGTCATATTTCAACTTTACATCATAAACATATATGAACAAAATCAATTATGGGCCATTTCTGAAATGCCCAAACCTAGGTTTAAAATGTCTCGGCACCAACATTCATAAAAATTACTCTTTTCATGAAGTTTTACTGAGTCTTAATAAGGCAGAAGAGATCAGAGAGTAATCCAGATACCACGCACATTTCTCTGACTAAATTTACAGGAACTGAGCCATTTTCACTAAAACATGAATAGCATCCTCTTGTTACAATTTACACAATTCATCTGCTATTACATTTCCAAATGAAATCCCTCTTTGTACTATTTTTTTGTAGAGGTTTTTTTCTGATCTAATACACTAAATTTCAGATTTCTATACGTCTCCTCTAGCAAACATTGAACACTCTCGAGACAAAGTAAAAAGAAACTGCAAATATTATACTGTCAGTGCTGTTCAGAGAGACAGTCTGTATTAACATTCCTACAATTCTCACCAGGTGTACGTACTGAGCAACCATTTTCTTTAGCTGAGTGGGAACTGGAGCTGACTTCTGGACTTGTGGTCATATGCTTACCAGCAGAACATCCCATAATATTAGCCCACGAGGGGCGAGGCTTTCGCCAAGACCACCCAATGGTGAAACAGATGATTTCTTGGTTCTTGCAAAATCAACAATCTTAAAAACCAATACTTTGTTAATGCAGTGGAAATTACAGGGTATATTGAACCTATAAGCAGTCACCCACAGGGAGTGGTCAGGTGACTGCTTAATGCACTACAGGTTAACAGTTAAACAAAGGTTCTACAGAGTAAGGGTCACATCAGTAAAAAAAAAGGAATTTTATGCCATAATTGATCATGTAATGTGCAGTTTATTCAAAAACTTGCTAAAAAATGCATTGACTGTTTGCAATAAACAGCATCAACAAAATGGTGGCACATCATAAAAACAGAGCAATTAAGCTAAATCACTGTATAAATACTATCATGGAAATAGTTGGACATGTAGGTCATTGACTAGCAAATAGCTTGCACAATGTTCATATTTCCCTATAAAGATTTGCCTTGAGGACATTAACTGTTCAAAACAGGTGACAAAAGACTATACAAAGAGGCAGTGGGGACTCAACCTAGGGCGACCACTATTACCAACAGCAATGAGTTAATTAATTGATAAAAACAAGATTCACACAATCTTAAGTAATGGGATTTCCTTTCAGCTGTCAATTTGCTTGTAGGAGCTTAAAAATATGTGTAATGAACACATCTGCTAGGTGTCCATTTGAAATGGCCACTTAGAGAAATAGATACATGTATCAAATAAATAAGTAAAATTCAGTAATAGCTCCCATACATGACAGACAAAATAAAAAAGCTTGCAATGCACTGTTGGGGGATTTTGGAGTTGTGATCTAAGCCAACCAAGTGGATTCAAGTGGATTAAAGGATTGTAGAACAAGTGTTTCCGGTATTTTATTRAAACCAGGTTATTTGCATGAGTTTAGTCTATTAAAAAGTAATCTGTCGGTATATACTGTCGGCCAACTGTCCTGTTGGCCTACACTTTACCGACAGGTTTTTTGGGGAGCTATTATTGAATTTTACCAGATGAATAAATAGCAAGCATTTATAGGAGTTCCAAATGGGCTTTATTGAGGCAGTTCTTTGTATATTCCACTAATGAGATTGTGTCTGTAAGGATAGCTGGCACTGCAGTGCGTGTTGTAAATATGACTGTGGCCAAGTTAAAAATAACGAATATCTTTACTCGATAAGATGACCCATCAGCCCAAATCCACCTAATTACTTAACAATTAAAAGTATGGGCCATAAACAGGTCATAAAAGACTAGAGAACAAAATCACCACAAAAGATAAACATGGCATGCAGGAGTTATTTTTTGGATACGTGGGTTGAAATGGGACACTAAGTAACTACTGCTGGTGTCTGAATAATTGTTGGCAAAAATAAACTGCATTGGTACCACGCTTCCTGCACTCCCCTTCACAGCCCTAATTTGAACTTGCCACGCAACGCTCTCTCTCCCACATTGGGTGACGGGACCAAACAACAACCTGCTTACAGGCTATAATAATGTGTACAGCCACCTCTTCCTCAGATACAAAGTCGTAATTATTATTCTAGCCATAAAGGGCCAGAATCAGTGATTCTGTTTGGCTTTCCTGTACAGGAAAATGCACAAATTTAGGCATTATGTAGCAAGTTTTTAATTGGTGTACTGAGCAATGTGGTGGTCATAGCCTGGGAACGAGATTGAGTTTTGGCATTGAGTGTCAGTCAGGCTTGAAGATTTAGGCAGCGCATAAACAATAACCAGGCTTGTTACAGTTATTTCTTATCTTTTGAGTAAACTTGAAAATGTTTATTTAAAGCGCAAACCTAATTAATACTGTGAAGCACTTCTATTCTCAACTTACTGATGAAAATGACAACCGTGGGACCAGTAAAAGTTCATTGGCTGATTGTTTAAATTTGATTAATTAATACAATTATCTTACATGAACATTGGCAATTGGATCCCTCAATAGATTAATATAGCAGACGGAACAATTAGTACACTTTTCTGACAAAGAAAAACTTGTGGAAGTCACTGCCATATACCTTTAATTTCAATCAGTCAAAAAACTTGTGGTCCATAAAATGCCTTCTGTGAGATATCATTCCAAGGCAAAAAAAAACTTCAGAGGTTTGTTTTTAGATGTAAGCAAGAGAAATCCTTGTAAACAAAGTCATCGTATTCAAAAACTAAATTTTATTGAGCTACCCCACATTTCCTCTAGCAATTTTAGTATTTCCAAATTGTCGTGGATGGCATCAACTTGTTCCAAAGTCTTATTATCTCCATAACTCTCCATGTTAAGAAAAAATGAAAAGCACTTGAAGTACTGGGCTGCACATTTATAATAACTGGCCTTGTTACAGTTAATACTTATCTTTTGAGTGAACTTGAAAATATTTATTCAAAGCACAAACTTAATACTGTGAATCACTTCTACTCTTAACATACTGACAAAAAAAACAACAGTGGGAACAGTAAAAGTTCATAATTGGCTGATTGTTTAAATTTGATTAATTAATACAACTATCATATGTGAACATTGGTGATTGGATCCATCAATAGATCAATATAGCAGACGAAACAAGTATACTTTTCTGACAAAAAAAAAAAAACTTGTGGAAGTCACTGCCACATACCCTTAATTTCAATCAGTCAAAAGACTTGCGGTCCATACAATGCCTTCTGTGATATATCATTCCAAGGTAAAAAAAATATATCAGAGGTTTGTTATTAGATGTAAGCAGGAGCAAGCAATATTTGATTCAAAATTTTTCTCATGTTCCACTCAGTCTTCTTCAGAATGAAGAATAACCATAGTCATACAATGATCACAACTCCACCGCTTCCCCACCACGACTAATATGTTTCCTTAATTCTCGAACCACTCTCTCTGGGTCACGTGTTGATTCGCTGAAATTTGAAGACCTGTCAAACCTCGAATTAGCAAGAACACTCTGATTGGTGCAACTTACAAAAATACTACAATCTGATTGGTTTGTGATACACCAAAAAAATGCACCAATCACATTGCTTTGAGATACACGGAAAAAAATGCACCACTCAGATTGCTTTGAGATACACCGAAAAAAATGCACCACTCAGATTGCTTAGAGATACACCAAATTGCGGAGATCAGATTACTTACACCAAAACACACCACCATATACCCTAATATAGAGTTTTTTTTTTTAATTTTTTTAAATAGTTTTTTTTTAATTTTTATTTAACTTTTGAGTAATTTTTCTTAAAAAAAAAAAAAAAAAACTCAAAAATTAAATAAAATCGTAGTACTCAAAGCTAATAAACAGTTGACTATAGGGTCTTTCACACATTTGCCCTACAATCAAATGATATCAAATGGAAATTTATGAAACGCCAACGATGAAGATAACATCTCTTGCTAAAAGCTGTCATGATTATCAACTATCTACTTGAGTGGAGGTAGCTAGTGATGGATGTCAACCCAGCCACAAAGCAGTAAGGTAGATACTGCTAGCCACCAACACTGAGGTAAAAAAGATGATTTTAACTCATCTATTCCTGCGACAATTACAACAATTTAAGGCTCATATCCTGTGCGGGTGGTTCCAAGGTGAATAGCAAAAGATATTCAAGTTTGGGTAGCCAATCAGGGTGTGCCTTCAATGCTATCCAATGATTTAGTATATACTTATGTATTGTATACACCACTATCTTCGTCACAAAAAATCTGATCACGCATCAAAAGGTACAAAGGGGTGGCAGTTCCCATAGTTTTCCTGCTAAACTTGATGGGAATTCTAGCTTTTGATAACAAATCATTTAAAATTTTTCAATTCAAGTACTAATTTGGCTACCAAATTGAGATAATGGGTACACTTAATTCTGGTAAAGTGCAAAGTTTTGATACAAATACGCACTCTGTCATACTTATAATCAAAAAAACACTTTCAACATAGTGTAGAAAAATTCTAGTGACTTGGGTTTATCAAATTTCAAAGAACCTTTTTTTAATTTTCTGGTATTTAATTTTTCATTGACCTTTCATCATGCACTCATGATTACGATGCATTAGTATAGTTCATTCTCCATACAAATACCCTCTAATGCACTTTATAACTTTGCAGAAGGACTTTAGCAAGACGGCATTGAGCAGTTGTCAATTTTTGAAAGGGAACTTTGCAGAAGGACTTTGGCAAGACTGCATTGAGCAGTTGTCAATTTTGAAAGGAAACTTTGCAGGTGCTCTAAATTTGGAACCAAGGGCAGACCACAACAGAGGGAGGTATCTAATCCCTGCTATTTGTGAGAAGTGTGTGGGTTCTTAAACATTCCCAACTTACTAGTATAGAGAAGCTGTGAAAGACAGAACCTAAAAATAAATAGTTTATTTTCTTATGTGAGAAAACAAGAACATCTAACCATTTGAAGATGTCATAGCGAAGGCAGCATATTGTGCTTGATTATTTTAAGATCCTAACTGTTGATTGGTCTGGGGTTTGGGCTCTTGATCTCGTGTGCAGCAGTCCTGCGTTTTACAACCTGAGCTAACCAGGTTTGAATATACTGTAATGACCTAAAGTCACATGTGACATCTGTCTTGCATACAGCTAGGATCAACAATTTTGAAAGCAGCACTCATGTGACCAGATTAAAAGTGGTCTTCCTGTATTTTTTTAACCCAGCTCCGATTTCCCCAATTTTTTTTTACTCTGTTCATTGAGAGTGTCTATGCCTCCTTCAAAGGCTCTAAACTCCTCACCAATCTTGCTCAAATTAAGATGTTTGGTAACATAAACAAAAAGAGCAAAAATGTTTCAGTGTTGGTAAAAGATTATAACATATCAATGAAGTGATGTCATGATACCACCTAAAAAGACTCATAGGGTGTCAAACTTTTTATATTTCTTAACATCAATTCAATGTTTCCAAACAAAAGGCTTTAATAATCTAATCTTGACAGCTACCCTGACAATTGCTTTTCCTTACTCATTTCAACCATTTCCCCAAACTATAGTTAAAAAGAGACATTATACTCATTAATATTGTGTTTTGCAGTTAAACTTCAAGTTATATGTCAGAATCAAAAGTTATCTATGTCACTTAAGTACTGATTCCCTTAAGCAGCTTAGAGAAAAATTAATGAATAACAAAACAGGATGGGAATTTTCAGTTTGGCTTGCCAAGTAAATAGATTTGAGGGGGAGTTAAGAACAATGTACTTGAAAATGAAATGCAAATACAATTGGATATAACCTTTTTTAAGAAAGATTAAGCTGTAGTGGGAAAATTTCTTCATGTTCAAACTGTGTCTCTGAAGTTTTTCCGCTGAGTAGGTGTCTCGTTTCCCTCTTATACACTGATTATCATCGAAAGAGGTAAATATGTCGCGCATAGAATTTTTCATACAACAATATTCTACGAATTTCAAAGAATATCCTCCCTAATAAATTCGTAGATTACTAGAAGTAAGTTTTACGCCAGAGATTCGGCGATAAGATAAAACCAGGCTTTCGACAAGTGGAGGAAAAGTGGTGAATCGTTAATGATGACATTGGTGGTTGGTGAACGTTATGAAAACATAGAAAGTGCTTCAAAAACAAAATAGGGTGCATATATGCCTTGAGAGAGTAGAGTGGGTGTACCTTATGTCAAACAAAACTTCTTCCAAGCGTTGACCAGGAAACGAAAATTTTGAAACTCGAAAACATAATGTCAGACTTGTTCACTTTTCATTATCACTTACGGGTCCATAAAAGTAATTTGTTGACAAGTTCCGAACATCGATCACTTTTATTCATGATTTCCCCGCTACAAAACCCACTTCACGCCCACAAGACGACTTTGCAAAACCTTATGAGGAAATACAATTCTGGAATATGGAAAACCGAGAGGCTGAGAAAATAAGTTACCCCAATATAACAGCATTAACCCACCAGAGAAAAACAGCAGCTGTGCAGCTGCACACAGTAACCCAACCGAGTAAATGTTTCGTACGTGATTCTCAATAATATAGCGAAGAAAAATAGGACTCAATTAGCGCAAAGTGACAAAAGCGTTTCCCTGTTGAGATGTGGAATTCAAACTAACTATACTCAGCAGTCTCTAGTAATCTTTTGGCATATAACGTCAGAACAAAGCAAGCTCACACTGCTCTGTCGGATTCTGGACTATGCAAATGAGGAACACAAAGTTCTCTTGCTTTAATAATCCTCGCTTACAATTCCGCACAATTCACTTCCCTGTGTTAACGTTCTAGTTCATTAAGTTTAGCAGTGAATGCAAAATTCCCTCGACAAAATAAAAGGAGGAATTCAGCCAACGGGACATCCGTCGTGTATCTCTTGGAATCGTTACAAATTACTCAGCAGAAAAACACACTCCATTGCACATTCACTTAGCTGATTAAAAAGAATATATATTCACCTCAAGCGGCACTTTAATAACGAACGAAACGATTGACATCGTGGTTACCTGGGCAAAATAGCAAGCAACTTACCTTAGTGATGAATCGGCATCTATTTAAAGACAATCATTTGTGGGATACCCAAGTTTAGAGTAGTAGAAACTGGCGATTTGTGCATCGCTTCATATGTATTATGGAGATTGAGAACGTCGCGCCAGCAGCGAGCTAGAAGCAATTAATCACATCGCCGGACACTGAAAAATAAAATTCACATTGATTTACTTCTACACATCATAAGCCCACAAACCCACAAAGGTGCAAGGGAGCCCGCAAACGCTCTAAGAACCGTCGAGAAAGCTTAATCCGTAAAAACCGCGATTTTTAGCATGCAAAGGACGACCACATCAGTCACTCTAATTCCCACAGATACTTATAAAGTGGGTGACAGACCACACGAACTTTCTCAGCCCGAGGAAATAGTTCAAAGTTCTACTTCACTCAGTGAAATTCAACGAATTACAAGCGAAAAGATCGTACCTTTTGTTCTCACGCAGTTCAGATGGTTGTAAAACACCATGAAGAGAACACTGCCTGCCTGTTTGTGCGTGTGTTTTCGTGGTACGCGCACGAAGTTTGTGACGTTGCCACGGTGAACGACTGAACGGATGTGGTGTCATCACCGGTGACCAGTGGGGTGGGAAGTTAGCCGCCAGAAAAAAAAAAAAAAAAAAAAAAAACCCCCCCGCTCGGAACTGTCCAGATGGCCGACAATATTTCATCGATATCGCCATTTTATTTTAATTCAAACTTCTATAAAGAAAGCGACTACGCTTAAACTAGACCTACAAGCTGGCATAGAAAGGGAAAAAGTCACAAAAAAGTGGGGGCCAAACAAATGAGAGGGAATGTAGATCCGGAGAAGCAAAACATGAGTGTCCTTCTCTATCATTTTCGTATTTTTTCGAGATTATGCGTTCTCTTAAGGTTATATCAAAATAAAGGTGAAAACTTCGTGTTATTTTTATACTCATTCAGAACGCTTAAGTGGTGCTTTGTCTTGTTCTTAATATTTTTAATCAGTGCTGAAGAACGACTACACTTTTTATTGGGGTAATTGACAACTAAAACAATGGAAGCAAATTTCTTTGTTATGAACGCAGGCAAATACCAGCCTATACACATCAAAAAGTAACATGCTAAGATAAACTTTCAGAATTATATATTACAGTTTGAATATGAATTATCAAAAGGATATAATCTTATCTTTCTGAGGGCACATTCTTCCTGTATTGCATTATAATATTGATTGAAAGCAGATAATGAACATTATAATAAACAATAAATAGCGTATCATAGGGACACTTCCTATTTCTAAGTATACCGATATGTCTTGCATATGTTGTTAGGTGATTTAGTCGCTATTATTTTTCTCCAATCTGTTATTCTTTGCCATCATAGTTTTTGATTTTACTGAATATTCCTTGCCGAATTTTAGCTCTTATGAAATAGTGCAACCTAGTTCCCAGGGCCTTCTCCCTTAGTTGGGGGTGGAGAGTGTATGTATTTTTAATGTAATCCAAGTTTTTCACTTGCATTTTTATAATTTTTTTCACACGTGCACGTTCGAACGAGTTTTTGTTAACCGTCCTGGGTGTGTACGTATGAGGGGTCATCTCCACCAATAACCTGTTTCAAATTCTGTTCTAAAAAACCTGTATGCTATTGCTTTTTATCAAATTCTTTTCAGAATAGAAATTGGCGAAACAGATTAGAAATTGGCGTAACAGAATAGAAATTGGCGGAACAGAATAGAAATTGGCGAAACAGAATAGAAATTGGCGAAACAGAATAGAAATTGGCGAAACAGAATAGAAATTGGCGAAACAGGATAGAAATTGGCGAAACAGAATAGAAAATGGCGATGTCTCTATTTCTATTCTGTTTTTCCGACGAAACGAGTGGAACCTGAGTAAGAGCCAGTTAAAAATTATAGATTATTCTCCCGATTCTCGCTCAAAGAAAATTTATTCTTGCCTGATGACCAGTCTGTTTACTGACCGTAAATGTAATATCGAGAATCCACCGACAGTTGCAAAATTTTATAATTCGTTTTATTTTTTCTAAAGGACACTTTTAATGAACCTTTTTCGAAAATTATATCAAAAAGTTCTATGCGCCTTTTTTTCTCCGAAAAAGCGAAAAGTTCGAAATCCGCCTAAATGGCCGTTGTCCTCCCCGTAAAGCAATGAAAAATGATACAACTTTGGCAACTTCGAAAAAGGTTCATTAAAAGGGTCTTTTAAAAAAAATAAAACGAATTACAAAATTTTGCAACTGCCGGCGGATTCTCGATATTACATAGTTAATTTACGGTCAGTAAACAGACTGGTCATCAGGCAAGAATAAATTTTCTTTGAGCGAGAATCGGGAGAATAATCTATAATTTTTAACTGGCTCTTACTCAGGTTCCACTCGGTTCGTCGGAAAAACAGAATAGAAATAGAGACATCGCCATTTTCTATTCTGTTTCGTCAATTTCTATTCTGTTTCGCCAATTTCTATTCTGTTTCGCCAATTTCTATTCTGTTTCGCCAATTTCTATTCTGTTTCGCCAATTTCTATTCTGTTTCGCCAATTTCTATTTTGTTTCGCCAATTTCTATTCTGTTTCGCCAATTTCTATTCTGAAAAGAATTTGATAAAAAGCAATAGCATACAGGTTTTTAGAACAGAATTTGAAACAGGATATTGGCGGAGATGACCTCTCGTATGTACGTGTCTAAATAAACTTACTTATCTTGAGCAAGCGGCATCAAACAAGCCCGATACTGTCAACAGAACGGCCCGTTCTTTTTATTATTATTATTATGATTATTATCAATATTATCAATATTATTATTATTATTATTATTATTAATATTATTATTAATATATATTATTATTATTATTACTACTAGAATTCGTTTTTAGTTTTTAAGAGTAAGAGTGTCATTTTCCTTCTCATATATTTTTTTTAATGTAATTTACTTTTTTAAGGGTAATTTCGATGCACGTTTTTTGAAATTCTTTTAATACGAACAAGTACAGTGGTTGCTTTCGCGATTTTTATATGTAGGTCGTTTTTGTTATCAAAGTTAGTCTGGGTCTGATAAGAGTCTGATGCTAGAGAACCAAATTTAACAGATGTGTTCCGTGTCAATTAATCTGGAAACATACGAGATCGAGAGGAAAAACCATTACCCACGCGAAGTTATTGTAATATTTTAAGTTTTTAAATTATTATTATTATTATTATTATTATTATTATTATTTAATGAAGCTGAGTTCAAAGAAAAAAAAAACATTTGAAAATATCCAGCCATGTTGACAAAACACCCTGAGGGAGATGAGTTGAGGATATTTGGGTATCACAGGGCTTTATGTGGGAACGGAAGGGGAGGCAGCCGTTGCCATTTCAGTATCAAGGGGGCCTTTGGACAATTCACTGCCAAAATGAGGCAAGGGTCATAAGAATATTACAGTCTGGTGAATTAAATTTTATCGTGACACAACTAAAATCCTCCAGCCCACAGGAACACCAACATCAGCAGGAATCCCAGGTGTCAAACGGCCACCTCGTCCCAAGCTACTTGTTAATAATGAAGCATTGCACACAGAAACTTTCAAATTAACGATGGTACTGGAAGTAGGTGTAGATTTTAAATCTACCTCTTTAAAACTATCGTTATCTTCACCGTGCTCGTCAACTGGTTGTGTGGACTGACTGTATTTCCTGTGTGGTGAAGAATTGTCGTGTGTGCATCAGTGTGACTGTCTTCATAATAATTACGAGAATTTTTGACTATTGGCTGCCTATATATGAGTAACCTGGCTAACACAATGTTTAAAATTTTTACTACACTGTGTGGTTTACACCTCAAAGGGAAATAAGTCAAAAAACGATACGCTAAAAAGATCGATTGTCACAAAAATCGCACCCATCTTCCTCGTACCTGGGCAACGATTCTTCACTGACTTCTTCTTGACCTGCCGTCGATTTCTCAGGAAAGATCCTGTTTGAAACATAAGGCCTTCCTTAATCACATGCAATTTCCTAATTTTTCCTTTAGTTAGAAAGCGATAATTATTGTAATCAATATCATAATGCGAGAACAAGAGCTAGCTTATACCATTAAATTCTGCTCGAGGCCAGCCTCATGCATTCCCCATATCAAAATAAATTCAACTTTCATGCGAAATGTAAACCCCCCATCTTTAGCTCCGACATAGGCTAATACGTTCTTACTTCTAGAGCATTCCAAGACTGCATCGGTTTTGCGTTTCTCAGGTTCTTGATTGTTCTAGAAAAGTCCCCTCGCCCTCTCAACCAAACACAATTTGGTTGCCCGCGACTTTTCAGCAGCTTGGTTTTTGCGTCGAGTTCTCAGGCATTGGCTCTTTGAGAAATTCTCTTATGCTCTGATTGGTTGTGGGGATTTATTTTCTCTTGATTTATATGATACTCAAGCCGAAAAAGGCAAGAAAAAAAAGACGAAAACAAACAAACAAGTTAGATAAAACTCTTGTGATAAATATTTGGCAACATTATCTGATGGACTTACTTTTTTGTTAATTACTTCTAAAGTTCTTGTTGGGAATCTTTTGTGATTTCATCATGCGAAATTAATGTTCAGCTCTTTCACGGAAAAGCGATCCAAAAAAGACTCATTTAATCTTCTGCATAAGCAGCTAACTAAATTGTAACAATTTGCGTGTTACTTATCGAAATTCAGAACTGAAAGGCTCGTCTACTGAAAATTATCAGTATCAACTGCTTGACAAACAAACTAATGGTTTAGTAAAACCTTTTCATTCTTATTTCAAAACACTGCTCATGATTTTTGCAATGTTTTATGACCTTAACGTAAACTATTATATTCACTATTAATCAGTTTAAAGTCCTTACGAAAGCCGTCACCATATATTTTTATTACAAAATTTTCAAAGTGGCTAAATTTTTTGCGTCAAAAATCAACCATCGAAATTACAGGTTCGACTGTAATCCAAACATTTATTTCGCTTGCTCAGAACTGTCTTGAAGTGATGTTAATAAAAAAATCGGCCTAAATCTTCGGCAATCCACGTTATTATGAGACAACTCTCGCTATTGGCCTAAGGTTGGCGTTATGCAATTTCGCCCTACACAATTAGTCAGGACTGCTATCAAGTTACCCGTACATGTTGAGCTCGATGCCTTCTTGGGCTGTGGTAGTAAGTCTTAGTTGTGTAACTTCATCAGCCGGCTGAACTGTTCCACGAAAGAGAATCTTCAGTGGAGGTGAAGACACGACAATGGAGTAAAGCAATTCACAAATAAACATTCACTTCCTCGATACGCGCAGAACATCAATTAGCATTTCGATGTCTCGACGATACTTGTTACGCTACAGGTTCGGCAAAGGTTGACATGGCAAATAATTGGAGTAATACTTAGGCTTCCTTAAATCTGCCAGACAATTGGTCGATTGATTAAGGCATAGGGTACCAGGTAACATCTCTCGCCAATCGCAAACCGCGGCATCTACATAGAGGATACGCAATCTTTACTTTAGGGTGTAGCACATTTATAACAGAAATTACCCGTAGGTTACGTCTCTGCGGTTTAATACC